TTTTTTTTTTTTTTTTTTTTTTTGTAGACCAGATGAACAAGATATTTCCCCCCTAAAATTATTATGAGGGTATTATTGAAGACATTAAAAAAATAAGAAGAAAATGTTTCTGTTAAGAAAATGTAATTTCATCCCCTGGGAGATATAATTATGAAAATGAAAACTCAGTCATTCTGAGTAATTAGAATTTAGATCCTAGACCTTAAACCTTTTAGGGTCATTAGAGATACTTTTCTTGTCCATGTCATTTTATAAACGAGTCCCTGGAGTTTCTGAAAAGTGAAAGAACTTGCTTAAGGTCACACAGTTACTCAGTGATAGAACCGAAACTAGAACACAGGTCTCCCAAACCCTAATTCTAGCCAGCATTGTACATCCCCTGTCACTTCATATAATACACAGATATTTTTTTACATATACAGCCAGACCCTAAGAACTATGATTCTATTTAGAATCATGGTCACGTGTTGTACAAAGTTGTTTTGTTTAAAAGTTCTACTGCAAGAATAAAGCTTTCAAGATTATATTAAAGGGGTTGTTTATCTGGCTTGAATCTTTTAATACAAAGTAGTCTGTTACATTTATCTAATATTATATCTAAGAAGCTTTATTGATGCCCCTGGAAGCAACTGCCCATATGATTATAAAGTAATATATATCTATCTCCTTTGAGATAAGGGAAACACAATGTTACAAAAGAGTAAACATTTTATTATTTGTACATGAATCCTTTTGGTCTGAGGTCACACAAGCATCTGGCTAACACATAAAAGCAGCCTAAGCAATGGAAGGGTGTCTGTGGTCATTTACATGTGGTCATTTATACGATCTACTTGCTAAGCAGCGAGAGGCCCAGAATGGACGAGTCAGACTGTGAGGAGAACCGGCAGTGGGGTAAGAAGCAGGGCACGCGGAGCAAGCACTGCCTCTGTTTCAAAGACAGGTCTGTGGAGCTCTCAGGAGGGAGAATAGTCGGCGAAACAGGTTTTCCAGGGTTGGAGGGCCATTAGGGAGGGACTGAAAACAAACAGCTGTGAATGCTGCCAACCATCCTCAGCCAGAAGAGTGCCTGTCCCCAGCGACCTGGGGATGGAGGGTGTCACAAGGGTACCACCTGAAGGGTGGGCAGAGGCCCCCGGGGGGGAGCCACGTACTCTTCCTCTCGGAGCAGCCGCAGCAGGATGTTTTTTTTATTCTTGGGCCAGCTGTAGACGTGAGTGTTCTGAAGCCAGGTGGGCACATGTTCCTATGGAGAGAGAGTGACAGGAGCAAAGGCCATTAGAGAAAAACCTGGATTCCAGATCCCAGGCTCAGTTCCCAAACATCTATGGCTTTCCCTTTGGGGGCGTTTCCTACCAAGCCATCCTGGGAGTTGCACTGTTTTGCTTTTGGAAGGGGGTTAGCATGTGACAAGCTCTTGGCTTCGGGTGCAAGCTGTATATCTCATTATGGAAACCACATGTGCACAGCATTTTCTGTCAGTCTCCCAGGCTACCTGCCCTTTGCATTTCAATGTGCTTTTCACCACCCTCACATAAAAGGGGTAGGACTGAGGTCATGCAGAGTGATGTGAATTCCCCTGTGACTTTGTAGGAAGTATGCCAAGGCTGTGGACTTAATCTAATTCATTATCCTTTCACTCCAGCCACAGGTCTGGCCTGCAGTAGGAGCCCAGCAGACCTCAGTTAGCAGGCAAAGGTAGAAATTGTGAGCTGGGGATGGTGGGGGTGCAACTGCAGACTGCCCTCATGGGGTGGACATTCTGTCGGGGAAAGACAGATGAGTAAGTAAAGACGTCTAGTGTGTTCGATGGTGACACATGCTGTAGAGAAAAATAAAACAGAGAAAGGGGATAGGCAGTGCTGGGCCAGGATGAATGGTTTGCTGTTTTAAATAGGGTGTTTAGGAAAAGAGCGGAGGGAGCAAGCTCTATAGAGGTCTGAGTCCAGGCAGAGAGAAGAGCGTGCCTGGCCTGTTCAAGGAGCTACTCAGTGTGGCTGAGGAAGAGCAAGTGACAGGGAGCAGGCGAAGGGGTCTGGAAGTAGAGGGGCCTGTGTCACACAGGGCCTGGCAGGTTTTTCTCGGAGTAGATGACAGTCCTTTGGGGATTGCGGAGCGTAGAAGCGGCGCCTGCTATGTGTCAGGCCTCATGCTGGGTATTGATGACATCCAAATGAAAGACACACAGTTACTGCCTTGAAGAGTTAATAGTCTCATGAGGGAGTTAAAATATAAAGAAAAAGAAACTATTTTCTAGGCAATGGCATACCCAGGGAGCAGGCGGTGGGAGCAGTCTGCCCCCGAGCAGAGGCAACAAAGGGTTGGTCTGAAGAAGTTTTAAAAACATAAATAAAACCAACTAAAAGTTGGTGAGCTTTTTCTATTACTATGCTCCAGTGATTCTAAACAATTACTCCCAGTGCCTTTACCCCCATCACATACTATTGAATCAAGGTTGCCACAGGGGAAGAGAGATCAGGAGAGGCTAGAGAGATTGGGTAACGTAAGGGTAAGACAGAGTTCACTAGACAGACAAGTCAGGGAAGGGCACTGCAAGCAGAGGGAATAGAAAGTGCAAAGGCACAAAACCATGAAAGAGCATGGCGTGTGTGAGAGCATGCAGAAATAGTCCAATTTGGCCAGAGCACAGATCATCTGCACACGGCGACAGGAGACAAGGCTGAGCACGTGGGCGCAGCCCTCTCTAAGGGGCCTCACATGTCATGCTAAGAAAGGTGGATACGATCTCGTAGTCAGTGGGAAACCACTATGAAATTTCTAAGCTGGAGAGAGATCAGATCTACATTTTGGATGCTCTTCTTTGATGCAGAGCAGAGGATGGCTAGTACAGGGTCAAAGTGGAGACAGGGAGGCCAGTAAGGAGATGCTGCCGTGAGAGCAATGAGAGCCTGGGAGAACCATGGAAAGGCAGACTATTGTGCAGGCTGTGACCTGTGCAGCCCTAGGTTCCCATTTCATAACTGGACCCTCCCTCATCCAGGGAGGAAGTCTCGATGCAGTCCTGACATCTAGTAATCCTCCAGGGTGAAGGGGGGCCTGAGCTCAGGGTGCTGCGGTCTGACTCTCAAGACTTTTACTACCCCACTGCCTTCCCTTTGCTAAGCCTGGTGCATGGCCTCAGGTGGTTTTTGACCCCTTCCCCCAAACCTGTTGGCATGCCCTTCTGGTGCAAAAACCCTCCTATGACCCACAGCAAAGTTCACTTTGGTAACTGTAGATTTAATTCCTGTATTCTACAGCTTTGAGAGCTGAACTATGTGCCACAAAATACTTCCGTGGAACAGCCAGCAAAAATGTACACATCTTGACTTTTATGTTCAAGAGATAAGAAGTATCAGATGAACAGTCTCTTTTTCCGCTCATGAGTTAAAACACAAACTACTTCTTTGTGTGTAATGGCTGCTTGAACTATTAGGACAGAGATGGTCGATCAGATAACGCTGGATTCATGCTGCTCAGCCCTGTGGTACAACTTGCTGATCTTTCTGGTATCTCTAAAGAGTGACAGAGTTGACAGGTTTTTCTGCTTAAAATCCCAGATAGCAAACAAAGTAAAGCTTGAATTCTGAGGTGTTTTGTTTGTTTACCTTCTTAGCATTTGGGAAGAGCACAGGGATGAATCTGAAGTTCATGCTTCCTTGTTTTATGAACTCGATCTGCATCTGCAACAGAACAAACTCAAGGTTTAATGTCCGGAACGTGGACGAGGGTTGAATGAACGGTACCTGCAATCACGCAGTCCACGTGGAGCCTTTATTTTGATCTCCTTATTTGAGTGCCACACCCTTAGAGTTTGAAGCTCTCCCCATCGCGCACATCTATGCCATTCACTCATTCGCCAATCATTTCTTGAAGTCCTATCCAAAGTCACACTCCAGGCTAGACTTCGGGTTTCAAGGATTAGGGTACCTCCCAGGGCCTGCTGAGCTGGTTCGCATCAGCTCACAAAAGCTCATGTGTCCCTCTTCCCAGTTCTGTGTTCAGTGACTTCACATTGGTAGCTTGAAATTGGCTGTGGTGAGAGTATTTATACCACGGAAATGGGCAGATGCTATGAATCAGAATCTGGGGGTGGAGGTGTAGAATTTTACCAGAACACCACGGATACAAAACCTATCCTCACAAAGACAGCAGTGAGCAGGCAGAAAGGTAAAGTATCAACCACAGTGCAGTGTGAAAGGTATGAACAAATTGCTGTGGAAGCTCCAAATGGGGGCCATCCCTTCTATATCAGTGCTCTGAAGGACAGTCAAAAGGGAGGTGTCATTTGGATGCTGGAAGAAGCATGTGGTCAGGCAGGGGAAGTGGGGGACAGGGGAGGATGTTCTCAGCAGAGGAGAGGGCCTGAGTAAATGTCCCAAGGTGTGACAGTGTGTTAGTGGGTTGGGACCAGTAGGTAACGCCCGGCAGCTAGAGCACGGAATGGGCTTGGGAGGGAGTGGAAGACAGGCTGGGAGGTCAGTTGTGAAGAGCTCTAACTTCCAAGCTTTAGGCTTCCCACACCAGTTCCAATTTGCTCTGACACTGCAGTGGCCTAAAGAGACTTAGCTGCCAAAAACTCTATCAAAACCAGAATTTTCAATATGAGAGGAGTCAAAGTCTTCCCAATCCTGTGACCAGCGCCAGGTTTTCCGTCTTCTCATGACAAGGAGATGAAGAATTATGTGTTCCCAACTATTTCATCTTCCAATTGATTTTGATTATGGAGGAGTCTTCATCGTGCATGGAATACAAACAGAACCAAGGAGGAAGTGCCAGTGGTGATGACTCGCTACTGAATTCACCAAAGAAACCCCTCCTAAACACACACTCTTACTCACACTTATTTGCATACACGCACAATCACACAAAACACACAAATTGTCCACAAGGTGCTTTCTCAAAACCACCTCCCTTTGAAAATGAGATGACAACACCAAAAGCATGTTTTAAAGTGACCCGTGTACTGAGCCACTAAAAGCACCAACCACATCAGTACCAACATGTAAAAGGAAGGGCACAGTTTACAAGTTAAGAACTGGATTTTGTTTCTGATTTCCGGGACACTGTAAAATTGTGTCTGTTCACTAGGCTTCTCCATCTGTGGAGGGGCCTCGGGCAGGAGTGCCTGTTTATCTTCTCCCATATTTCCAGATATGTGCTTTCTGTGCAGTCGCCGGCCTATGACGCAGCTCCTCCTGGGCACCCCTCCATGCCCTCTGTCCTGGAGTTTGCTGATGCCTGGAGGGGACCAGGAAGCCAGCCAGATGGGCAGAAGGCACATCTGCATCTGGCCTCTTCAGCCCCTTCAGTGATGAGGAAGGGCCCAAGACATCACTGCCCCAAGAAACCGAGTTTGGAGACAATCTGGCTCATAGCTGGGCATGGTCAGACAAGCTCTGGGCTGAGCCGTGTGTTCCTGCCTGGCATCTCCACACACCAGCAGAGCTCGACAGGTTTCCTCAGGAACTGGAGGGACCTGGAGCCCTTCCCACACACCAGCTGTCCACTCCAGGACTGGCCTGTTCCTAGAGATGCAGACAGGACATCGAGTGCTTCAGGGCCACCCAGACAAGCAGCAGCAGACAGCCAAGGGATGGCAGCTCCCAGGGCCAGCCATGACCTTTTAGGGCAGAAATCCCTGTGGGCTGTCAGATTGGGAGAGAATCGAATAGGAGGAAGACGTGTCTCCTGACTCCCTGATCTTACTCTGTGACCTTGCCACCTTGCCTCGGCTTTTATTCGGGGATTGTTCTGAGCTCAAATAAGTGGCCAGCACTTGGTAGAAGAGGAGACAGAGACCCTGAAGCCCCAGATGGGGGACACCTGCCCACCCTGCCTTTTTCCTGTGCTCCTAATCCACAGGACAGACCTGATCCAAGTCAGCTTCCTCGGAGGTAAAGCTGCAAGTCCCCTGACAGCCTGCCTGCCTCCTGCCTTGTGCTGCTCTCTTATTCCATCTGGACCACTTCTGCTTCCTGCCCCATCCTCCTGGCCTACTCAGTGCTATTCTGGGTGCCTCCTCCCCTGTGGATGTTAGGGCTGAGATGGAGTTTACAAGTTCTACTCCAGTGACTTTTCAAGCCTTTTAAAATCTCAGAATCCTTGGTAAACAAACAAGCCTGAGAAAGGCAGGTGAGCTCTGGCTGAGGTGGGGTGGGAGGCCCAGAGCACCCTCACCCCCAGCACATATGAGCAGCACCCATTGGGGACTTCATGGGAGAGTTTGAGAGTCACAAGTCTAGTCTGGCATCCTAGTCAAGCGTGACCGTCTCCCCAGCATCTCTACAATCATGGGAAGCAGGAAGACTGCTAGTCCATAAAACAGCCAATTCTAGAGCTGGGTGATATTTTCCATTAGAACATTCCATCAGATGCTGAGTCAGCCTAACTCTGTATAAATCTCTCACCCTGGTTTTAGTTTGAACAGGCCCCATAACAGCATGACAGGTATTAGTGATTCATTTTATGAATAGAGACATGGACGCACAAAGAGGTTTAAGCAGTTGGCCCATGGTCACACAACCTACACCTGAGGAAGCTGGATGTGAACCAAGTCTATCTGACATAACAGCATGAGTCCTTTTCACCAGGCTACTTTGCCTCTGTGAAAAGGCAGGGAACAGGCTATGAGACTGATGCAGGAGCCTGGCTCCTCAGGCCCTGTCTGTCACCCCTCCTAGGACTTCACACTCGCTGGTAAACAATCTAGCCAGTGGAGCTCTGCTTTCCAGAATCTTGGAACTCAGAGGTCACAGATTCGTCTCCCCTTGTTGCTGAATTGCCCAAGGTCCCGAAGGTAGCACCGCCCCCTCTCCTGCCTGGGGTTATTCATCCAGCATCAGGCCCCCCGTTGCTTGGTCTCTAGTGAGGGACAGGCTTGGCAGAAGAGTGAGCTGGTTTCCAGGGCTGGCGAGGGGCTGCGGCCTGTCACCACTCACCATTCGATGGATGTACTTAGTATGTAAGCCGTGTTCGTCTTCGTCCAGCTGCGACTCCGCGCCTTCCACATCCTGTTTGTATTTGGGGCTGATTGCTACGATTATCATCACTGTCTTCTGTTAATGAGAGGGAGAAAGCATGTTTATGAAAGTGTGAAGTGCGGTCCGTTTGGTGAAGGCGGGCTGGAGCGGGGCCAGCAGGGCTGCAGTTCTCTGCTGCAGGGGGAGGGGAGGGCTGGGCTCACCCTGCACGGACAGTGCAAAGCACTGACCCCACTCGGGCAGGCTGCTGCCTCCCCTTCTCCCCGGCTCCCTCCCTGGCTCCCTTCAAACACGTAAAGCAAATGGCAACGAGACGAGCTCTCCTGAATGGATGTGGTTTTGCCCACAATTTTCCACAACCCTCACGAATACACGGCTAATGAAAGGCCGGCTCGCTAAGTGGTTCTGCATCGTGGCAGAAAGGCTCTGCAGCGCCGACGATGAGAGGCCCCTTCCCCCCGCAGCTGACTCTGAGCTGCCAGTTACTGCGCTCCCGGCGGCCCTCCTGGCCAGGGCCCCGTTAGCAGTCAGGGGGACCAGACCCTTCCCCACAAAGCAGACATCAGGCTGCAGACAAAAGGAAAAGCCACAAAACCCCAGCCTGCTCAGGCTGTGCCCCACTGCTGCCCTTTCTCCCAAAGACACAGCCAGAGCACCGACATGGACACGCTGGCAGCAATTAATTTCTATCTTGAAGCACAAAGTGCTCAGCAAAGCTCTTCAGCTGGGTCCTACAAGACACTTGGGGTGGTCTTAGATTAAATCGAATTCTGCTGCTCCCTCCCCACTCCCGCCTTCATTTCCTCCTTTCCTATTCTGCTCAGAGAATTGTTTGCTCTGATTGTTATCAACCACCTGTGTCTGGTTTGACTGTTATTTCCTGCCTGTGCCTGTCCAGGAGGGTGACCCCATCCTTCCCCTCCAAGTCTTTGCACGGCTGCCAACAAGGGAGGCTTTGTTGGGACTTTCTCGGCTTTGGACTTGGACTTGGTGGGTATGCCGGTGCTTCTTTTATAAAATAACTTCACAAGCTAATTGTCTTTCTCACCTGAAAATAAACTCGGAATTTTGGAATGTACTTACATCTCTAAGGTAGCGTTCCATCCACTTAATGATATCAATGCCTCGGATTCTATCCTCAAAAATGTCAATCTACAAGAAAAATATGTGGGAGGCGGCTCTTAATGAGAAGCTCTATCTAGATGCACAGCAAGAGAAAACACGAGACTATATACATTTAAAATGGAAAAAGTCACTAATGCTTTTTGCAGGGAGGAGCATGTAAGTCTTAAAAAAATACATTTTTCTTAAAATGTTCCCTATTTCAACATTAGCAGGCATTGAAGTATTTAATATTCATTATTAGGATATACATGTATGCATCAAAATGTATCTTTGCCTACACAATTATTATGCTTTAAAAATCTGAGAGACACGGACCACAAGCTGGGTGTACGCCAACAATATACAAACCAATAATTATCTGTATATAATTTGAAAGGCAAGCATGATTTTGGAACATTTTAGTGGCTACATGGTGTGCAAGTATTGAGATACAAAATGTGGTGCTTTACTTGCATTGGCCAGGTCATTATTACAGTATTATGTCTAGTTTCAATCCATATGTTTAAAAAGGATTGCATGAAACTTGGAGCAAATCCAAAGACTAGTCACGAAAACAATTACTAAGATGTTAGGGGAAAGGTTTACGATGAAAATGAAGTAGACCTCTTGGGCCTTGAAAAGACATATTAAAGTCTCTGAAGGAGTACTGGAAGGGGAGAAAAGCCAGGTATTTTCTATTTTACAGAAGACGGAATATAAGGCCTTTCTTGGGCTCAGACTTGTCCTGCAGCCAGAGGGTAGTGAGTGTGTACAAGGTGCTTTTGATCAGAAGGGGGATTTTGTGCTGGAATGGATGACTCAGGGACAGAGTCCTTGAAGAGGCGTTAGTGGACTCAGCCACGGCTCCCAGATCAGTTGTCCTAAATGTCACTCCGCTATTTAGGACTGATAGGATCAAGTCCCAGTCATTCAGCAAGCTTTCCATGCCATCCATGATCTAGTCTTACCTCTATCTTCCCCACATGCCCTGCCTACTCTACTCCCCATATTGCTGTCCTTGCACTGCACTCAAAAAGCACAGTGCAAGCCCCCCTGTTCTCAGAGTCCTCCCCACACAGACTTCCTCCTCCCCACCTCATCAAACTTTGCCCCATTGTGACCACCAGGGGTACTGGACAATTAACACATATTGTAACATTCTTTCATTTACTAAATGTCTCATTTATGTCTGCCTTATCTCTTCTGCCTGGTTCTAAGTCTCCTAGAACGAGGTCATGCTTCATGTACATCAAACAATATGAGTTCAGAATATGTTTCTTTACTGATGGGACATCAAAAATGGATGGCATTCCTTTAGGTCTGGATGGCCATTTGCTGCTTTAAAATGTCTGATGTCCAATGACTACGTTAAGTAATCTTGAGAAAGCTTCTGTGACTCTGTTACTGTGCCAGGGTGCTCCATTTCTGTTATACAAGACAGGAGCACCATAGTGTTGGGGCTGAGAAGAGACAAACAACTTGGCTCTCCTCTTGGTTCTACTCCTGGCCTCTGCACTTCCCACGTGCATGACTTTGGAAACTAGTACTAAAGTTCTCTAAGTCTCAGTATCTTTATTTGTAATATATGGTTAATAAATATACTTCCTAGAGTGGTTGTGAGGATTAAAATGAGTTAACATGGAAAAGGCACATCATAATGCTAGGTGTGATGTAAGTACTCAATAAATGGTTATTATTATCCCAGGACCTAAATCATTCCCTGCTGTGAGCTGGGCATTCCAGGAGGCGCAGTGTACTGGATATCTTCCATGTGTCTCTCTAAATTTCTGCCAAAGTCCACAGCTTCTGTCAGGCCAACTTCTCCACATGGCTGTGTTATGGGCCAAATTCTGTTCTCCCAAAATCATGTTAAAGTCTTAACCCCCAGCGCCTCAGATTGTGAATGTGTTTGGAGATAGGGCTTTCAAAGAGGTAATTAAGGTAAGTGAGGTTATATGGGTGGCCTCTGATCCAATATGACTGGTGTCCTTATAGGAGGAGACTGGGACACAGAGGAAAGACCTGGTGAAGACAGAGAAGATGGCCATCTATAAGCCAAGGAAGAAGGCTCTGAATGAAATCAATCCTGTTGAAACCTTGATCTTTAACTTTTAGCCTCCAGAACTGTGAGGAAATAAAATTCTGTTGTTTAAGCCTCCCAGTCTGTGGTACTTTCCTTATGGCAGCCCTAGCTAACCAATACAGCCACCCTTTTTCAGGTTTTAATAACCACTGCTCCTTGTTTCTTTAGACCTAGGGTGGTAGCAACTCCCTGCTTTTGCTCATCCCAGGATATTGCACAATTCCGTGGGCTCCCCAAAACTTATCTAAAGTTTTGAAAATATTTCCTTTTTAAAATTCTCCTTAGCTTACCCATTAAGTTTTTTTTTTTCCTCTAAGGAGACCTTCATGTATCAATCTAGTAAGTTAGCTGTCAGGACTGGGCTCTGTGATTCTACGACAGGACTTCATAGTGATGAGGTCAAGGAGAAATTTAAAATCTGCCTAAGCAGCCCCTCGTTGTTAAGGTCACAAAAACCTGTCTTCTTCCGGAGCAATCAGTATGCTTATTTGGAAATGACCAAAAGTTAAGATCTTTTCTGAAATATTGGCCTTATGTCCTGTAATTTGACTTTATGTCATGGTTGCCACAGCACTTTCTTATTCCAGAAATGAGAAACTGAAATGTTGGTTTCTATATAGCCATGAAGTTGGATGTATTAATTGTATGCTTTTTTAAACTTTCAAATACTTTCATTTAAAAAAAAAATCATAGTATAAAAAAAATTCAAATAAAAACTCCTGTTAAATTATGTCAAATAATATTTAAAATGGACATTGATTTACTAAGGATTCCCTCTTTATTCTTCAACGTTCCTATCCATAGACATTTCCCTTAATTTTTTGCCACTCTAGAATTCACTGTCACTAAATACCCAGAGCAGGCATCCAGGAAGGAAAAAAGTGGTCCAGTGCTGAGGAAAGCCAGTCTTCTGGGTAGGCTCCTGTGACATGTGATTTATCCTAAAGAAAAACTTAACGTGGCTTTAAGCTGTGGCAAGGCACTGCGGGGGGACTTGAGGAGCATGTGCTCCCTGAGATTTCTTGGGACAAGGTCACGGTGAACTGCAGGGCTGGGCTGTCTGTCTGCCCTGGAAGTAGACCAGCCGAGCACCTGGCCACGTGGCAGCAGCTCCAGGTGTAGAAGGGCAGCTGTGCACGGCGGGGGGCCAGGCCGCAGGGCTTCTGCTTCAGACCCCACAGCGCAGCGCCCAACCGAGGACCTTGTAGAACAAGCGGGTGCTCCGCTGCAGCCTGAAGCCTCGTGCATCACAGGAGGCCCGGCCCACGCGGGCATGACTGGTGAAGAAGGCAAAGGTGCAAAGGGCAGCAAGAGGCTGGCGCTGCCTGCAGGCCAGGGGTCAGCTGGGTCTGGGATCAGCATTAACACCCTTGGGGCTGTTCAGAGGTACTCAGGGTCACTCACTCAAAAAGCATGCAGGGAAAACATACTGGAGACTGTGGGTACATTAAAATCCCCGAAAACAATTAGCTAAATTCATAAGCAATTAGTCCATAATCACACAAATCAAATAATACGGTTTAAAAGATCAACCGTTATCATTTGTCTCCTTTTGTTTTTTCTTTTCCTGTAGCCACTTTAATTGTTTGGTCTTCTCTTTGGATAAAATACTTACTGCAGTTTGGAAGCCATTTACCAGCAAAAAGTTCACGAATTTCACCACCTCCATGGCTGTGTCCACAGAATAAGTGATAAAGACTTTCCCTAAGAGAGATTTTTCACATTTATTAGAAACTAGTCAAATAACAATAATTATATTTTGAACAACACATAAATTGTATGCAATGTCATTTGTTCTTCTGGAATAATAAAGTGAAGCCTTTGGATGGGGGTTGGTCTAAGGGCTTATGCCTGTAGCAGCGTGGACTGCTGTCCTCAGGACATAGATCTGCAGGCCCTAAGGAGCAGGGGGTCTGCCCAAGGGCATGCAGACTGCTCAGGATGCATGGAAAGAAGAGGCACAGGGGAAGAGTGCTGGCAGGCTGAGACAAGCTGAGGTCTTCTGAAAAACGACATGATGCATTAACAAAAAATCCATTACCCAGAACCTGGGTGTCCTTAAGATCAGGCCACCACCTGGTTTCTTAAGAGACACTTGGCACTGTGCCTCAGGAATACTCTCACAGTGGGCCCAGAAGTTGAGTATTGTTAAGGGGCCACCCTGCAGCATCCCCCTTTGATCTCATGGTGTTCTCTGTGCCTTGAACTCTCGCTTGACAAGAGCAAGTGAGGGGAGAGGGAAAAAGGTGCCCCACCCCTTCCTTCCTCCCCATCCACTTATTGATGGGGGAAAGGCCAGGAAGTTGGAGTAGACGAAAGCACAACTCAGAAATGTTAGTAAAACTTCAGTAGCTTGACAGTAAGACAGTGCTTCGGGTGGTCCAGCATCACTGCCTCCCTCGCTGCTCCCTTGGGTGAGTCCAGAGCAGCAGACAGTGTTGTGCCTACACACTTGGCCCAGTCAGCGTGAGAACGAGCGTTTCCTCGGGCTTAACCCTTGGGGAAATTATCTGGCTAGCACGCTAATGTGCTAGATGAACAATCTCTGTGTGCTGCTTTCTAGTCTGGGACGGATGAACCCGCTAAATCTCAGGAAGCCCCTGGGGCAGAGGGTGGAGAAGAAAGTGGAGTTGGAGGGAAAATATGAGTCATTACATATTAATCTTCGCTTAGGCCTTTGGTTTTTGAAACATGCTTCTCATATGGAAGTGTATACCATGGTCATATTGACTTATTTAAGCAGCCAGGTATATTGATGGCACTCAGTTTCTTTTCTCCTCAACACCTAATATTCAACCAATTCCTATGTAAGAATTTTAGGACTCCCTTTACAGATTATGGTAAGATAAATATGATGTATAGACTGACACCAGGCTACATCCTATGCAGGGTAGGATTCTCCATTCTCCAGAAATGCTCAAAATTAAAATGTGTAAGAGTTTAAGAAGATTAAAAAATTATTTTTGAATGAAAAGACAATGGATCATTGTAATAGAAATCTTTCAAGTCCTAAACGACTAAAGAGCACAGATCCCCAATAGGAATTAGCAAATGCAAAAGTCTTAATTTTCAAACTTGGTTCAAAGAAGTGCCCAGATTTGGACAGCACTTCTTAGAATTACCTGAGCTTCTCTAGCAAGCACAGCAGAATATAACAATTTCATGAGTAGTGGCTGTTTTCTTAAGATGATAGACCTTAATATGAGAACATTTTGGTGATATTTCAACATTTTTGTTTCTGGCTGCAAAATGTGGAAAAAGAATCATCACCTGACACGTAGCCGAATGCTTCTTTAAATAAAAGGCTTAGTTTGCATTTGGTTGTAAGGCAGTGTGGAGAATGTGAGACTGCTCTTGCCCAACGAGATTGCTCATTCCTACAGGAAATGACCTCGTTCTAGATGGCTGCTGCTAATTTATGGTAAGAACTAGGTCCCTGGCCAATACCACATGGACATCCAATCAATTCACTCAGGAACGAGTCCACCCAAGACTGTCATTTAGAAGAGGGAAAAAGCACTGGGGTTATTTGTTGTTGGAGTGTATATTTAAGAAAACCTACCACTTGTGAGTATTGCTAGTAGTATCAAAATCACTAAAAACATTCATACTAAATGTCGGCTACTTTTTTAGCAAAAAGCAAAAAAGTAAATTTTATTTTACTGTATATATGAGAAATATCTAAGATTATGGATGAATAATTATGCAATACTCTCAAAATATAAGACTAGACAAGAAGAAGGAAAAAAACCCACACACATCATTGCAAACAACTTACTCAATTCTTCTGGCAAATTGCTTATTTTCAGAGTTCCTCTGGCTAGAGGGTTACTAGGGGGTCTAGGGACAGCAGCTGGACACGGAGCCTGGGGACCCTGTGGTCTCAACTCTGCAGGACACTCCAAGGACTCCTCAGGAGCTCCAGCTCTATTAGGTGGCTGGTTATACTGGTCCCTGGAAAGGAATACACGTACAATGAAATTTCCTTCTCAACAAAGGCACACCTTGAGGAGCAGGAAGGCTATAAGAACTAATACCAGTGAGCTCTCTCTCTCCTCTGCTTCCATTCTTTTCTGAACCAGAGGGACAGACTTGCTCCATGGAGTTTTGGTCAATAAGCAAGAGGGCACGTTGCCATATGTGAGGGCTGAGCTAGGGGTCGAAAGAGGGAAATAGAATTTGATTTCTCGATTCAAGGACTGTCTCCTTGGGAAGATAAGTCTCATGCACCTGATAAGGTCACCAATAAAACACAATATAATGGGTGATGCAAGGTTGGCATTAATAGACGTTCAGATAAAAAAGACTTTTAGCTCATGACAGACAACATTTGATTATGTATCAAAAAGTAGAAAAGACCATGTAGGTTTAAAAATATTTGTGTTGTTAATATATGGATGAAAATCCGACACTGAAGATCCTTTCAGTAGTTTCCGCCACATGGTTATGTGGCGCTGCTTTGGCTGCCAGTATTTCCATGAACATGGTGCTGAGAGGAACCATCAGACGCACTCGTGCGAGATGTGGGAGGCAGAGGAAATGGAGGCCACGTTTCTGCTATGTCTGTGGTTCGGGCTTCATAGTGTCAAGGTCAGGGCATGGGCATCCGTTTTTGGCCAGTGCAGGTCTAGCAGCACAGAATGCATTAATAGTTGCAGTGCTGGCGGCTCCCTGATTCTGGATTGTATTGGGCAGCGTGGCCAAGAATGGAGAGCTCCCCAGTGATGCTCTGATCCTCTGCCCCTCTGCCTCTCTGACCATGACGCCGTCCTGTTCTGTGGCCTTCTTTGGGATCGCTCCTGGAAGCCCGGCCTAAAGTTTGCTCCTCCAACCTCCAAGAATGTAAGCACCCACTTCCCAAATTAAATCCCTTCTGCTTAAACTGGCTAGAGTTGTTTTCTGTAACTGAATCCTAACTGATAAGGGCACTAATGTTTTTTCTTTAAAAAAAACACCTCTGACTCAAATGTTGCCCCGCCCGATGTTAACATTTAAAAAATCTAGGTGGTGGGAACATGGATGTTTCTATCTGTTTTGTGTTTGAGATTATTTTATTTTATTTTTTGTTTGAGATTATTTTAAATTTAAAAAAATGTTTTGATCACAAAATCTACGTGTATTTGCCATTTTTTATAGACTATTGTTTATGTTTTCATATTTTTACCCAAAAGAGTAATCAGGAATTCTGAGACTTATGCAACAAGGACTTTAAATAAAATTACACGGAATCCAAACTATACTATATTTCTAAAATGTGAACATTTGAGTAAGTTATTTATTTTATATTTTTATTAAGATAGAGAAAAATTCCTATAAAATATGCCTTCATCTAATGGGAATTCAGGCAGAGCAAAACTAAAAATCTATTTCATGGGCTAAAAGGCCAGGTGATCTGAAGGTAAAAGAAGCAAGTGTGACTTAGCATCTTAGGAGCCTTTTTTTCAAGAGAAATTTGACCAGTCATCAGTGGTTTGATATGCCTGGGAAAGTTTCTTGTCAACCAGCTTCCGCTTCCTCCTGACCTGAAAAGTCTATGTGGGGTGCTCCACTGTGTGACTTGGTCACTAGCCTAGTAGTAAGCCAACAGAGAGTTTTGATACACCACTGCACTGGCCTCATGCTTTTTCGTGTTAAAATTATCTGCAGGTTGGCCCTGTAATACTTACTGATATCTCGGAAGCCCCGGGGAGGAATAGTCTCTTTGTGCTGGCCTCTCTTCTTGGCCCCAGGGGCTGGGGTAATTCAGAATGACTTTCTGCACAGGGTGCGGGCCTCTCACACTGGCTCCAGGTAGGGGCTGCACAGGCAGAGCCCGCTGGACCACTTGCTGGTAGGCTGCTCGAGGGTAGTCCTGGCCATCTGCAGGTGAAGAGAGCCAAGAGAATAAGGAAGACTGACTCTAGTTCTTCGTGAGAAAGGAGAGGTAAGCTCAGTGCAGATTTTTGTCTTGATAACCAACTGACGATTCCAGACATCAGTTACCACCTCCGTGATGTTTGCCATATTTCTGTACTATCATTTACTTGATAGTTTCATTAAATTGAGTCATTGTGGTTTTGGTTTCCAAAATAAAAACACCTGTGAAATCATGAGTCTGGTGTTCTAATCGGAAAGTGCAAAGCTCCACACAGGCCCCAATTTTAATAAGTTACTTAGGATTATCCAACCATGAAGAACCTGCCCCACACTGAGACAGGCCAGTAAGCCAAGATAAGTGGAACAGGGAAACTGAGACAGATAGCTGAACAAACTGACAGCAATTTACAGCAGATACAGGTCACCTCCTTAGAAATAACATCTAGGCCTCAATTGTATTTCAGCTCCAGACCTAAAAAAGCAGCAAAACCAAGTGGGCAACACCAGGACCAGCTGTAATGACTAACGACCCCCTGGCCTGACACTGACCAATCAGTGGAGACCATGGCCCTGGAGAAGCACACCTAGAAAACTGATGAATATTCTGTTGAAACCTTCCCCTGAGGCCACCCCTAAGATTCCCACCTGCAAGAGAGAAGTAAAAGCCTCAACACAAAGAACCCAGCACCTGTTCTCCCTCTGGGGAGCACCGCCCATCCGCCATTGCCATTCCCTTTCCCTTCTTCCCGCACAGGCACGCATCTCCTAAACTCTAAGGGACCTCATGAGACTTGCAACCAGGGCAGCAATGGGCAGAGGCAGATCGTTGCGGGCTAGTCCCCTGAACCTGTTTCCAAGACTCCCTTTTCTCTGACTTCCTGGAGAGCCAGGGCAGCCCAGCCTAGGCTCTCCTGTTGCTGCTTCTATGCTAAGTCATTTCTTATTTTACTGTCCCCAGCTTTAATAAATGCTCCCTCATAGTCGTCTGGACTATTTCATGTTGTGAAATTTTCCCTGCACTAAGTCAAGAACCCACACACTAATGGCTGGCCCTAGGCAGACCCGCCGAGGGCCAGGTCCCCTTTCCAGTAACACCACCACCATTCCTACCATAATTCTCCAAGTTTCTAGAACCCAAGGCTAAGAGCAATTGTCACTATGGTAGATACAGAATCACTACTTTTTCATTTTCCCCTCCAAGTGGACACAGACACATACCACTTTCTCTTACAAAGAAATAAATGAATGAAAACTTGGCTCATACCTCTGGGAAGCAGCCAATCAGTTGGCAATACAACCCAACTTTCTTGGTCCTCTCTTGCTAAAGCCTGTGTGCACTTGAGGCCAAGGTGGTTAGAAGAGGACAGGGCTCAGAGCAGAGCCAGGGCTGGCAGTGACTCATGTGAATGTGCAACTTAGGAGAAAGTTGGTCCCAGCCAAGCCCAGGGGCAGCAGGGTCTCAAGGGAAGAAGGGCAGCCTGCCTGTCCAGGTGAGGGAAGGGCACTGAGGGCCAGAGGAGGGATGCAGGGAACCCAGTGCGGGTGAGAGAGGAAGGCTCTGAGGGAACTTCTCAGGCCCAAAGGGGCTCAAGTGTGGGAAACCTGAGAGGTGAGGATGTGCCTTAGGGGTGGGCCCAGCCTCTGAGGGAGCTGGACAGAGCCAAGTGGGTAACCCTGAAGAATGAACCATGAGCACCTCCTGTGAGCCAAGCATTGCCACCTCTGCCCACATTAAGAAGATGGATGATCCAGGAAGCATAGCTAGTTAGGGCAAGAAGGAATCTTATTTTTCAAAAAATATATATATTGGTCTTTATTTTTTCTCTGATTATAAAAGTAATAATCGAGTTTTCCCACTATAGGTAGGATACATGCAGGATGTAAAGTGAAATAAAACTTGCAAGCAAACAAGAAAGTAACAGACAAGGTAGGTTGGAACCAGAATGTAGAGTGTGAAAATGTGGCTAAGAATTGTATTCTTAGTTTGATAAGTTGTCAGGGGCCATTGAAGTTCCCAGGGGAACATTTAGGGGAATGATGTCCTCAAATACAGAACAGAAGACAAACAATGTGTGTGTTCCACTAGTGTAGCTGCCTCCAGGTCTCCACTGTCTGGATGCAGGAAACTTGGCTGGGTGGCCCTGGAAATGTGCCCAAGCCAGTGACTCAAGTATGGTCAGAGTCCCTGGATTCAATCTACTGTCTGCTTTGACCTGTGACACTAGCCAGGTCCTTCCTGTCATATTTCCTCTGGCAAAAGCGACCATTTCCCTCCAACCCAGCTCTCTCCTGGCTGACTGTAACCCTTGCCCTACTATTGTTTAGGACTGGTCATGACATTAGGGGCTTAAGAAAGGGGGAGAGAATCAGAGAACCTGCTGGGTCTATCCCAACCCCCTGGCTGATGAAGGAGACCATGATGTGGAGGGCATCTCTAAGAACGGGGAGATGGGACCACAGAGAGCCCTGCGTCCTCGGACAAGATACACTATGCAGGTTTTGCTTTTATAGCCTTCCTGGAGCAGGTCAGATATATTCTGGGTCCAGATGGCCAGTTAGGCCAACAGGGAGGTCACTACTGCTGCAACTTTTTCCCAGCTAGAAAAGGGCCAAAAGCGCCACTACCTTCAGGTCACCAGGCAGGGGCCAACCCTGCTTTCAGATAAGTCATGCACCAGTGGACCGTTTACAAAACCAGCTCTAGGTACAACCCTCCAGAGATCCCATTGCACTTGAAATCCACCCTGCACGATTGGATCCCTGTCCTTCTTGGTCTCATCTCCTACGATGCTCGCACATGCTCACCAAGCCCCAGCTACCGTCTTGGCCACCTTTCTCTCTCTCAAACACCCAAGCTTGTCCTGCCTCTGGGCCCTTGAGTTGCCATCCTCTCTGCCCAGAACGTTTTTGTCTTATATCTTTACAGATCAACTTCTTGTCATTCAGGGCTCAGCCCAGATATCACCTGTTCAAAGAGACTCAAGTATCACTCCTTCACCCAGTTGCCCTATCCCATCCCCATCCCCATTTTATTTTCTTCATAGCACTTACCATGTGTTTATGTTATTAATAACTGTTGTCAACTTCTTGTCTGCCTTCCCTCCTAGCATCTAAGTTCTGAAAGCACGAATTGTGTCTGTTTGCCATCACATCTCCAAGCCCAGTGCGGGCACCAGGGGATGTTCAATAAACAAATGAAAGACTGAACAGCTACAAAGCCAGCTCCACACACACACTAAAAGAGAAGCCACCCGGGACTGCACACTCTGCCTGCTAGGTCTTGGGTATTCTAGGTTACTCTCACCTGTGGTCCATTTGGTTCTTTCAGTGTCTCCCTCCGAACGTAGGAAGAAGAAAGACACGGTAAAAAAAAGAAAAACTTTGCTAGTGGCCTTGAACGTTTTTAATGTTTGAAACAATGTTTGCTTCCCATGTCCGTTAATAAGTGGCTAATAACGTTTTATTTGCTTTAAAAGGACCACCAAGCTCTAATCATAGGGCTTGTTTCTTTTCCAGAAATCGGATATTAGTGCTGTTAATCAAAAGCCTCTGAATCAAGGTCATATTATCTCTAACAGATTATTTCCCGCACAACACGTTTTTGTCTCATAGCAACAAATCTTATCATTAAAATCACCAAGGCATGTGGGCTAAGTGTTTGATTAGCTGTAACTTTCATTTCTGAAATGCTCACCTGTGGTAAAAACTTAAACCAGTTTACGTGAGCAGACGAAATGATCCACCTCATCTATTTTTTAAATTAGGGTACTGACAATACAGCCCTCCATGCTGTCCTTTGGTTGTTTAAAACAAAGAAATGTTGAATATCAGAGGGTATAACAAAAACATAAGCTTTCCCTCTTATAAGCGGAATTTGGTTTTGTCTGGAATTTGGCTGGAAAAGTTGCTAAATAAAAACTATGCTTAGCACACAGATGAATATCTTTCATTGCTCAAGTTTTGATCATTGTGTTTTACTATTTTGACGGAGGCTTACTAGGGATATATATATGTATATATATGGCTAACATTTATTGAGTACTTGCTACATGACAGGCACTGTTCTAAATTCCTTATTCAGGATTATAGAGTTCAATTTTCTGTTTTCCTAAAGAAGTTTAACTTAGAATCAAATCCAAATTCCTATCATAGCCCTTGCAGGCATCATCTTCCAGCACATCAGGCCTCTCCCTGCTCACTCTGCTGCTTTACTTTTGGTACCTTAGCAGCTCCTGCTTCCTTGACCTTCTCATCTGTTAGGTTTCAATTCAAATGTGTCCTCCTCAAAAAAGCCTTCTCTGGCCTCCCTGTCTATCGATGTCTGTGCTAACACCTGGTTATTTCCTTCACAGCACTTACGCTTGTTCTGTTTGCTGCTTTCTGCTTAACCTGTCTCCTCAGTACACTGTGGAAGACAAGACCATGTGTTGTAGTCACCAATGTACACCCAGTGCCTAGCAGAGTACTTGGCAAATATTTGTTGAATAAGTTAATAAATTAATAAATGAATGAACAAGTCCTGTTTCCAAATCCCATTGATCTCCCTCCATTCTGCCCCTCTCCCATAAGACAATTATAGATGGCGTTTTCAAGGCCTGGTATCACAGAGGCTCTGCTCATGACTGGGGATCACTCCTTTCCCCAGGAAGTGGGGAAAAGGTTTCTTTAAAATTTTTTTTATTCGTTCAACAAATATTTACTGAATTTCTATGGTTAGACACTCAGTGAACACAGATAAGTAGGATACAGTTCCCTTAAGCAGCTCAAAATAAGTGGAGAGAGAGAGAAAAATCTGTGTGTCTGTGGGTGTCTGTTTTGAAACACAAGCCCACACTCGTTAGTGTGTGAGAAGGAGAGGCATGCAAGTCGGCAGCCACCTACATGGTAGACTTAAGAATTACTGCCCAAAAATATCTCCCCCACTACTTGTCCCCAGTGTCTAAAATTCCATCAAGAGAGTTTATTCTGCGGGAGATGAAGAATAGAAGGTGGTGGGTGGTGTGACAGACAAATGATTTGTTAGCATGGTAACGCCTCAATTCTGAGGCAGTGCTAAGCACAAAACACAATACAAATCTTACGATCATAAATGGGTGCCCAGGACGGTATGTTATTTGTCAGTCTTATGACCCTCTTGGCCTGAGGACATATGGTCTTCATGTTACTGGGTTTTTACCACTTGGAATTTGTAAACCAAATCCTAATGAGGTTTTCCATTTATCAGGCAAAACATTCAACATTTTTCTTCCTTATTAAGAATGGAATTAACAGAGTTTATGAGAGAGAAAGTAAAATCTGATTTTTAAGTTGTCAAAAAACATCGTGATATAATGCTGTTTAGCCAGGAAACAAAATAGCCAACATAAACTGTTACAGGGACTCTCACAGCTATAAGCAGCTGTGGTTCCTGAAGGGGCAACTCCTTTCGCGATCATTTCTTCCATCTGGCTTGTCTTTTCCTTACTTTTAATTGTGCGTGCATTCTAGCACACAAATAATCACTTTTCTGGTCCACATGAGCAATAGTAGGCCTGTGTCCACAGTTTTATTCTATTGTTTTCTTGGTAGAGTAAGCAAGAATTTTACAGTAAGGGCTCTTTAGATGCAATGCATTCTTTTTTTCCTTTATTTGTATTACAGGTTTCATTTGCTTGCACAGCTATGATCGCGATTCTGGTGACCTTGCCCGGAAGGATTCTCAGGCGGCCTCCTCCAAGCGGTGGGGGAGGGGAAACAGGCTTATTTCCACTGCTCGGTTCACTTGCTTTGAAAACTTTTATTTTTTATTTTTTTTTTACATGAAAGAGGAGATCAGCAACCATTTTTGCTTTAACTTGCACGGGCTAAGATATGCCATTTGCGTGGTGATCATTATTTATTTATATGTTCATTAACAGATGAGGAAGTAATGCTCTTCTAAAGCCGAGGAGAACCACGTAGCCATGGTTTCCAACTGCACAAGCATCCCTTAGGTGAACAACTCTTTTGAAGTGGTTTTGTTGGCAATTAAGTGCAGTTACAGCCCCGACATGAAACTAAGCATTGTACACATGCTTTGAATACTTAAATCTGTACCAGCAGAAGGGATCTGGAAGTCGGGGAGCACTCTACAGGGCTGTGCTGCAGGATTTTAATTTAAGTAATAACGGTAACTAAGAGCTGCTGGCTATTCAGGGCTTACTAAAAGCCAGCCGCTTTTCTAGCATCTTTAATACATTGTCTCATTTAATCCTCACAGCAACCTGCATGAAGCCTTTGCTATTGGGGGCCTCATAAAATATTCTGAGTTTGCACTGCCCTGGAGAAATACCATAAGCACTGGGCGTCCTTGACAAAAAGGCCCCAACCCTGACCTTCTTTCCTGTGATTAGATGGCCTCCGGAGCCAGGGCCAAGGCACATGTAGGGTGAATTAGGGTGAGCCTGCCTGTACATTCTCATTTCCCCTTACTTTTCTTTCTTCTAAGTTTTACTTATTTTTTAATTATAAAAGTAATGCCTGTTTGCTATCCCAAATTTAACAAAAGTATATAAAGTGAGAAGAAAAATCTCCCCACCTCTTCTTAATTCCCTGTCCCCATCCCCCATGATCACTGTTAATGGTTGGGGCCAGATTTTTTAATATATAGTTTTTAAACAAATACAGGTTTTAAAAATAATATGTATGGGATCAATACTGCATGCTTTTCCACTTAATCTTTTTTTTAAAAATGTCAGAATGTGTATTTTACTCTGCTAGGCCAAAGAGTAAGCATATTCAAGTTTTGCTAAAGAGTGAGACTGTCATCTGGAAGATTATACCAATTTCACTCCTACCTAGAGTAGATGGGAGTGTTCCCTTCTCCAAAACCCACTAACACTGGATGGTATGCAAGGTTTTCAATTTTTGTACACTTCATTAGGAAAAAGGTACCTTTAAAATTTTTGCATATATAAACTTTTCTTAAATTTAGTAATGTTAAGCTTGGTTTCATATGCTTATTGGGTGTTTGTACATTTTCTGTGAATTGTTCCCCTTTCCTGTCCAGGCTCTCTCCTCTCTGCCTTTCATCACCTCTCTTCACTCCCAGGATCCTAGGCATCTCCTTCCTCCCTCTTCTTCCATAGAAGGAAATAATGCAGAGAGCGAAGAGAAGGGACGTGATGAAAGAAATCAGGTCATGGAGGCAAAAAATGTTCCCAGTCAGGAGTGTTTGCGTTTTAAAAGAGCCTGCCCAGAGTGGGCAATGCTAACCTCCAAGGACTGGATTGCTAATGGTGCCACTTTAGGCTTCAACAGGAAAAATATTTTCAAATAGGAAGATCTTCCTGGGACCCTCATATTATAATACATCAATGCTTCCTTTTTCTATCACTATCTCCTGTTAGTAGATAAAAGCAACTGCTTGGGACTTAGTATCACAAAACCCTGGACTAAGTATTCACATGCCTACACATCAATCTAAGGAACTAATCAGAAATGCAGAAAACAACTTACATACATGGTTGTCATATCACTGCTCATTGAATAAAAAACTGGAAACTATTTAAAATGTCCAACAATGAAAAATAAAGCAATTTGGTAGATCCATCTGATGAAATACTATGCAGCATTTTAAAATGGTACTAGAGCTAGTACACTGAATGTCACTGGAAACTAGTTTGATTTTACATTAGATGTATAAACAAAGAAAAAAGAAACAGAAGTAAATATATCAAAAACCCAATAAGGAATTATATTTGGGTGATGGAAATATAAACTAAACTTTTAAGCATATTTCAATTTTGAGAGTGAACAAATATTACTGTTGTGATCAGAAAAATTATCTTTAAGTGTAGAAAATAATTGTTTAAAAAAGTAGTTTAGGGTATTATTCTCACAAAGTCTTCCCTTTTAACCTGGAAACCACTGAGAAATAAATGCAACCCTTTCCCTGTCAAGGTTTGTTTCTATTACTTAAGGAGCTGCAGCCACCACACACGTCCGATTACTGGGCACTCTGAGGAGCCAGTGGTGTCCACAACTCCCAGTCAGGTGACTTCCAACATCCAACATGCTGGGTCTCAGTTTTAGGCCTCAGAGGCGCTCTCTCCTTAAGCCCTGCTGTTTTCGCATCTCCTGGCCCTATTCTGAAACTCATGTTTGTTTCTTCTAAGTTAAATTCCTCTATTTCCTTTCTTTAAAAAAATATTAATTGCTGTATTGCTCCATTCACTTTAGGAACCTTTATACTAATTGTACATGTATGATACATAAACTGTGACTGGTTACAGCATTTGTAATTTTTCTATAATTTATTTTAAAGCTAGGTGTCAGGCCTTTGGACAGACTCCTGTACCACTTGAATTGCTTTTTGCAGTTTATTTGCTAAGAAACGTATCATATTTCAGGGCCCTGTGTTTGATCCGTAAAGCCCTGTTGCTATTTTCCAGTGGTCTTGGTGGAGATTTAATACCAAGGATTATAATGAACCTTTTATCTCAGTCTAAGACTTTATCACTTTCAGAGCAGCTTAATGCATTGATACATATTACTCATTCATTCGCTCATTTAGAAATAACTTATTGAGAATCTAGTATATGCTGGACATTATGCTAAATGCTGGGGAATTATGGATTGAAAATACAATTTTGCTGATGTGCAAAAGCTTGCAATCTGGAAAGAGAGGTGGGCATACTGCTTATTAGGTGCCCTAACGGGCAGACAATAAGGAAACAGCCTGAAGGAGGGACTGATCTAGGGAGGTTTCCGGAGGGAACACTTGAGCTAAGTCTTAAAAGATGTACATGCTGATGGTTGTATAACTCTGTAAATATACTACAATTCATTGAATTGTGCACTTAAAAAGGTGAATTTTACAGTATGTAAATTAGATCTCAATAAAGCTGTTAAAGAAGAGGTATAGAGCTGGGTCAAATACACAAGAGGGGGAAGAATGTCTGGAGAGCGTGAATAGCATAGGCAAATGCTTGGGATGTGAAACATCTAGATGAATTAGGGGCCCACCAGCCATGCTGTGTGGCTAGAATGCTCAGGTCTCCAAAGGGATTCAAGCAATGGAATCATAGGAACAATATGATCTTCATGTAACGGCATGAATCCAGAGTCTCAATGACATTCTGGCACCTTCTGTTTTTTTTTGACTGAAGACCCCTTTCTCTGCCAAATCTAAGATCGGGGAGAAAGCATGCAGAGAAGGAAGAACCCAGATGCCCAAGAATTAGGACAGCAAAGAAGTTTTCAAGAAGTCCACTGGGTCATCTCCCTGCCTCTAGGCAGGCTTCAGTTAAACTAACCTAGACAGAGGAATCTTTTTTGTCCTTAAAGGTTCCTAGAGAGGCAGGTTCCAAATGGGACAGATTTTGGGCTAAGAGAAAGCACTCTTCCAAAGCCCCCTGCAAATCCAACCACACACGGAAAGCCCTATGGGAAGCAAAATAACCTCCCTGCATCCTGACCTGTCTGTGCTGACCTGTGGATACGAGGCATTGACCGAGGCCCTTGTTTACTTAGTTACCTAGCCCAGAATGAACAGAGGAGGGAAAGCTCACTTACATGGCACCTGGTGATGGGGACCTCCAGGACAATGGTACTGATAGTTCCACTGAGCGCGTGGGGAAGGGTTGGGAGGCAGCATCTGTGCACACGCTGGATGCCTCAGAGGATCAAACGGACGGTACTCCCTGGACCTGAGAGGTCCGGGGAGATCCTGGGGATAACACATGGAAGTGAGGGGCAGCGGCCTTTCCAGCTGCCTGATGCCCAGGATGTCCTGGGGCTGGGAATCATACCCCGTGTCTATCGTAGGCAGGTCTGGGGCTGCTCGGTTCCTGTGGGGCTGGGGCCGTTGCACTGTTTCTTGGCTGTTGCCTGAGGAGTCTGCTAAGGCATTAGGTAAATTTGGCTCTGATTTGTCTGAGTCATGGCCGGTGTCAGGAGAAGCTGCTGAAAGCTGAGATCCTAGCCATTGATTACGCTTTTCCATAAATGAAAACTGATGCTCTGAGGGGAGGGCTCCAACCACAGACTCAGACTTAGGCTTGCTGGCTGCAGAGGAGTCCGAGGGCAAATCTTTGCCGGGGTCCGGATGTCCCCTCCAGAAGCTGTCTTCGTTTTCCTCTAGGACTTTAGTGCGCAGGCAGCAGATCTGCTGGGACACAGGCCGCTGGTGATTTGAAAGTTTCAGGTGAGGGTGAGCCTGAGAAAAGTCTCCCGAGGAATAGTAAGGGGTATGGGGTGCAGACAAGCTGTTGGGTGCCATGTTCCTTATATTTGGAGCAGGTGGTTCTGATTCCTCTTCCAGGGAATATTCTGGGATGGGTTTCAATAACTGACTTGGGTATGGTTCTGATTCATCAACCTCCACAGGAATGCTTCGGTTCATTCTAGTTTCTGAAACAAGAGAAGACAGATCAGTTTTTGGAGTCTCTACTTTATGACCTTAAGGGACCTCATTCAAGATATGGTTTAAATTAACAGTAGTGTGACACCAAAGTGCTTGTAGAGCTCCAATCACATAAAGTTGTTTACTTACCCTCCAGGCAAAGGCACTCATTCTTATTAAGATATTTTTATCTGGAAGGCAATTCAAAGAATGTGACTGGACCATCATGTGGCAGACAGCACAAGGGGAAGACACAGATGAAAATCAAAGGCCAAGGACTGAGGAAACAGAACTTAGTCCTGATGTGGGCTGCTTCTTGTGTGCTTCTAGATGTTTAAAACGCGTGGAGGAAACACAAGACATTGCTACATTGCTTGTCTTTGAGGATGGAATTAAGCTGGGGGAGAGATGTGAGAGAGAGAGTTTCCACCTTTTATTTTTATTATTATGATTATTATTATTATTATTATTAGAGAGAGTAGAAGGGAATGGGGGGGAGAGAGCGAAACATTGATGTGAGAGAGACACATTGATTGGTTGGGATTAAACCTGCAACCCAGGTACCAGGCAGTGAACCTGCAACCCTTCAGTGCAAGGGCAGGTGCTCTAACCACGGAGCCACGCTGGCCAGGGCAGGTTTCACCTTTTAAACTCTAAAAATTTTGCTGTCTGTCTATTGCCTAATCAAAAAAAACACACCAAAAAACAAAAAACAAAAGCTTATGTTTAAAAGCACTGAAAAAAGGTCATAGTGACATTTTCCACTTAACAACTATAGGTTGTTTAGAGGATTAATTTCCTCTGGCACTATGCCTGCGATGAAGACAGCCATGACCATCTGGTTTGTGATGTGCCGGCTGAACTAGCAAGTTTGCTAAACTAGCCTTTAGCCCATAGACCATGTAGCCCACAGCCAGGTAATACTGGTTTTATCTATAGAAAGAGAATCCTTAACATAACAGGATGAGACGAGGCCCCAGGAGCCTATGCTCCAGGGGAAGGAAGACAGCATGGGAGTGACTGGGGGTCTGCAGAAGGCTCCAGAGCAGGTGTAGTGAGAGGGAAGAAGGGAGTGAGAAACAAAAATCCCAGAGGTTTGTCCGATGCATCCCTTGCACAGGGCATATCTCAGATACCATGCAGAGAAAGGGGCAAGTGCCAGCAGCGGTGAATTTTTAAAAATATGTTTGTATTGATTTCAGAGAGAGGAAGGGAGAGGGAGAGATCGAAGCATCAATGATGAGAGAGTCATTCATCGGTAGCCTCCTGCACGCCCCATGCTGGGGACTGGGCCCGCAACCACCAGGAATCGAACGGCGATCTCCTGAATCACAGGTTGACGCTCAACTGCTGAGCCACGCTGGCTGGGTGGTGGTGGATTGTTAAATTCATAGTTTGGATCCACGTAGAATTTCAACCACAAACATTTACTGAGGGCTCACTGTGCCTAAACCACAGTGTACATCAACTTTTGTTCTAAGACAAGTTTTGAAAAATATGAATTCACTGTCTCTGGAGCCCTGTGCTCAACCCAATGGCAACACGACAGCAAGCATTTTAAAATGCTCTCCCGCGGAGCAGAGGTGGGGCCAGCACTTTCCTACCAAATCTATCTTCACTGCCTCCAGAAAGATAAGTCACTTTGCCTCTCCACTGCCTGCCAAATGAATGCTAACACTTCTCTTTACCTGCACTTGGTAACAAATTCACCCGTGGGCTACAAACAACCTTTGTCCTGTTTTCTGGCACAACAGAAAACATCAGCCTCTCACTCTCGGCTGGCCCGCCCTCCCTGCCTCAGTCTCCTCTTTCCCACTGTCTCTTTTATGGGCTGCTCTCCAGGCTGTGTGTGTCCCTGCCCCTGAGAAAAGGGACCTCATCACCTAAATTGATTAGGAACTGACCAAAACCACACATATTTCAACTATTTATGATTTGTAAATGCTCACCATGCTTTTCCTTTCTTTTTTACAATTTTCCTACAGCTATGAAACTGGATATTCCATTCAATGTGCTCTTCAGCTGGTCAGGAAACACAAACATTTTCTGAAGGGCTGGCTGAGTGTGTGTAATCTCCTGCTGGCATCTGTGGGCCCACAGCTGAACAGGAGAGCAAAGAGGCACGGAGTGAGCCAAACAGCAAGAAGACTGAATTCTGTCAACTCTTTCTTGTTACTCGGATTCTCTTTCATCACCCACGCTTCAGGCACCACTGTTTACATTCTCCCTGGGTTTTCAAACATGAATACCTTAGAAATGCTTCCCTAAACAACAACCAAAAAAAATTGCAAATTCTGCTTTTCTAGATGAGGAGCCTTTAGGGATTTGGAGGGAGCTAATAAAAAAGGTGACAAGTGCCGACATCTCACAACTGGAAATCTGAGGCCCATCATGTGGTGGGAATTCTACAGTTAAAACTGGTTTGAAAGGAACAAAGGGCCTCTTGGATGGAAGTAAATAAACCTGCATGGTAATGAGCAGCCTCCCAGCAGAGCTATGGGATTAGTAATCCTGAAAAAAAAAAGGACCCTGATGTTTTAAACATGTCACCATCAAATATTCAAACAGCAAATAGTTACTGAACCCTCCTATGTGTCCAACTCTATGCTGGGTGTCCTCCTTAGGCACAAGCTTTATTAAAAATTTTTTTACAACAGGTAATACCTACAACTGATACAAAATTCAAGAGTACAAATGGGTATACAGTGAAAGGTAGTAAAAATTATTTATAAAGAAATATAAAACATTCCTATCTTCAAGTTGCTTGTGATTCAAACCAACAGGAAATCAAAGGTCCTACCTCAGGGCCTTTGCACTTGTTTCTGCTTCCTGGAACACTCTTCCCCCACATATCTGAATGGCTTTCTTTCTTTCTCCTTCAGGTCTTGACTAAACTGTCACTTTCTCAGTGAGGTCTTCCTGGTTGCCCTCTCTAAATTTTTTACATGCCCCTCTCACTCTCTCTCACTCCTGCTTTACTGTTCTCTCTAGCAATTATCATCATCTTATATACTACAAAATGTGTATTATAAATAAAATATCTAATACATTCTTTGTTTATTGTCATCCCCCTTCCTCTCCCCATCCCCCAAACTTAAAGTTCACGAGGGTGTGGTTTTTAACTGCTCTATGCACAGCTATATTCTCAGCACCTAGAACTGTACCTGGCACATAGTAGGTGCTCAATAAATATTCGTTGAATGAATCAATGATTGATGCCTGTTTCAACGAGGCAACAGATCCATGTAGCTGGCAGGATCACTGACAGTGAGACTGTCAGGCTCCATGAGAGGTAGCAGAGAGTATTTGGTGCATCAAGTCCTCAGAGTTTGTCAAATTATACCACAGGCACACTTCCCTTTTCCTCTCTCTTCCTCTCTAATATTTATTAAGTGCCTACTCAGTGTCAGTGGGCCTGGGCCATGCCTAAGAGGTCCCACTCATGGGCAGAGTTGATCACAACCCTACTTGCAGAATAAAGGTGATTCTGCCACCCAAGGTGATTGGAGCATGTAACGGCAAGGCAGCTGGTCTAGTTATGTAGCCTCAGAGCTTTGCCCAGAACAGCAGAGGGTGGGACCTACATGCACCTTGGGCCTCTCCCAGCCCTAGACCCTCCTGAGAGTGTCACATGGAACAATTACACAAAAATGCCACATCACAGGACCATGGCAGATTAATGGGTTGTGTTGTGGTTCTAGCTCTTGGCAGTGTTTTTATTTTTTAAATTTATTTTTATTTTTATTGATTTCAGAGAGAGGAAGGGAAAGGGAGAGAGAAAAACATCAATGATGAGAGAATCATTGATCTGCTGCCTCCTGCACGCCCCCTGCTGGGGACTGAGCCAGCAACCCGCACATGTGCCCTGACCGGGAATCGAACCTCAACCTCCTAGATCATAGGTTGATGCTCAACGGCTGAGCCATGCCAGCTGGGAGCTAATGTCAATATTGTAAAAATGCTACAAGTTAAAAAAAAAATCACTCAGTATCTCACCACTTCTAACCATTGCCATTTTTCCCTGTTTTATTCCAGAACTTTTCTATATGATGTCCATCCACACGGTTATAACCCTGGCATGGCCTGTGCTCCAGTCCCCAAGAAAGATGACACTTGGATTAAAGTGGAAAAGCCCTGTTTTCTAGCTGTGACCTAGAAGAGAAGGCTCTCACCCCTGAGGGGGACAGAAGATTTGCTAGCCAGGACCCTGCGAGCCCAGTGCCGGCACTGCCCTGGACAGGCTCATGAGCACAAATGAATGCTTAGCTCCAAGCTCCAGAAGCCTGGGAGAAGCAGAGGCCTGTCAGGCCTGGAGATCATGTTTGCCTCACTGTGGCAAATCCCTCGGGGCAGGGGGAGGCTGGAGGTCAGCGGAACCCAAAGCAGTTTCTGGATCAGAATCTCTGAGCCCACAACCCAGGTGCCCAGGCCCCACACCCAGAGATTCTGAGGTGGGGGCAGAGCTCCTGTGTATTTTTGTTTGAGTCTACCGGCAAACAGGTTCTTCTACACCTTGAAAAGCGGAGTGTAATCTATATAATTTGGCAGTAACTATTTGAAAAGCTTGTGCCCTTTCACCTAGTAATTTCACTTCTAAGAATTTCCTCTTCAGTGATATGTGCATGTCATGTGAAACGGATCGGCCGCGAGGACAGGCGATGCAGCAGTGTTTATAACAGCAAAGGCTAGAAACCAGCCACATGGCCGAAAAGGGTCTGATGTTTCAAACTGTGGTCCAGATGAAAAGTCTGTCTTTTCAAAAAGACTGAGGAAATTCTGTGTGAACGGATGTGGAACTATCTCCAAGATTTATTGTGAAGTTAAAAAAAGTGAAGAACATGAAAACACAGAGTATGCTGGCCTTTGTGCCATCTGAGACTATTTGTGCACACCGTCTCGTTGGAAACCCTGAACAGTGGCTGCCTCTGAAGAGGAACTGGCTGGCTGGGAACAGGGGCAGGAGGGGGACTTGCTTTTCAGAGCATTTTATACCTTTTAAATGTTGTACCGAGTGCCTATGTATCTACTTAAAAGATTTTTTTAAAAAAAGGAAAACCTGCACTAGTGATTCTGATGTTCACAAATATTAAGAACCAATGAGAACGAGGCACTCCTGAGACCACCCGGGAGAGAAGGAACATGTCCCTGGGTGGGAATGGAGTGGGCACAATGCAGGCCAGTCCCAAGTGCACACAGCGAGGCTGAAACAGTTGTGTGTGGGAGTCTGGTTCTGACTCACTCTGATCTGACCCAACAGACACTAGTTTCCTTCTCTGGAATCTCACTGCCCTTTGGGCTGTGAGCTGTGCTTCTAGCCCTTGGATTCTGACCCCACCTTTCTTCAAATCCCTCTGTCAGTTTTCTCTGCCCAAGTCTCTCTTTGGCTTCCCTTCGGCCTCAGGCCTGAGACCTTTTCTTAGCTACTCTACTCTACCCTGGAGTGGCCTGGTTTTGCAGATAAGATCTTACTCAGATGGCAGCAGATCTGACATCCCATGTGACAATGCTCCCTGGTGTCCCATTCAGGGAATTTTCCATTCTCTCTCTCCTCCCTCCCTCCTTCTCCCTCCCAGTCAACTCCCCTGAGCTGCTTCCAACTCTTTGCTCATGTCTGTTCCCGGCACCCTTTTTCTGCTTCAGCACACCCTGACTTAAATGATCAGTTTCTTGAAACAGACCGTTAGTCAGCACAGTGCTACATTTCTGATCTCACGGTTCATCAAAAAGCTCCTTTTCTCCCATCCTCCCACCTCCCTTTCTCATGTCCACGAGGCCCCACTTGGCCTGAGTGGGGAAAAAGTCGTGCACATTCACAGTTAACCGTGGCTGCTGTCTCCCAGATGGGCTCATCCTGATCAACACATAATTCTAGAATGTGGGGAAATATGCAGCATTTCAACGCACAGGCTCCAGATTCAAAGCCCCTAGGTTTAAATTATTTCCCTGCCAGCTACATGATTGGATATGTGAACTTGAGAAATTTACTTCATTTCTCTGGGCCTCATTTTTCTCCTCTGTAAAATGGGAAAAACAACACTTGCCCCCTAGGCATTTATGAGGATAGAAGATGTAAATAAAGTGCTGACTTGTACATAAAGGGCCTGAACCATATCAAGCCCTATTTTATGAAAAAATAAAAAGGTTATTTTGTTATTATTTTTACAATAAGTGATTTGGCTTTGGAGCTCTTTCTAGACTATGTTCACTGATTTTATACCTGGATGCTAACAGTAGTATATGAACCTGATGTTTGGAGACTTATCCTTTTAACCAACATGTGTATTTCTGGCACATTTAATACATATTTCATTTGGTCCTTGAAACAAGATGGGCCATGGGCAGTGTACTCAGTATCACTTTACCATTCCTGTGTCGCAAAGGCCGACACATTAAATAGCTTTTCCAAGTCAAAGCTGAATCTAGTCTATAGATCTAACTCTTTCCATTAAAGTCATAGAGATCGGGGGTTGGCAATTTTTTTCTGTAAGGGCCCAGATAGTAAGTAGTCCACCCTTTGTGGACCACATATGTCTCATACTTTGCTTTTTGAGGTTTGTTTTTAAACAATGCTTTGAAAAGATAAAAACCATTCTTAACAATGTGCCATATATAAATGACCATGGGCCACCTTTGGCCTGAGGGCTGTAATTTACCAAGTTCTGATACAGATTATGCTGTTAAATCAAAATACAAACCTAATGTAATATATATACTTAAGAAACCTTACACTTTGTTAGTAATAATTGTTTATATTCATTGAATATTTACTATGCACCAAATACTTTTCCAAGTGTTTTACATGTATTAACTTATTTCATCCTCACAGCCACTTTATTTGGTAGGTGCTACTGTCAGCCCCCTTTTACAGCTGGGGAAACTGAGGCACGGAGAGGTTAAGTAACTTTCCCAAGGTCACATGGCCAGCAAGTAGCATAAATAGGATTCAAATGCAAGCAGTTCAGTACCAGAGCCTGTGCATTTAACCATTTTCTATCTCATTTGGAAGCATTAACTTACATCTGGTGGGGAGAAAGGGGACGGGATGGGGAGCTTCTGGAATGTGTTTTAGAACCATTCACCTTGAAGGTGAGGAGGTGTGGATACAGCCCACCCGTGTCATAGAATGAGTCGCCAGGCTGGAAACCGGTGGTGGCTTTCCTTCATGCCGTGACAACAGAGGATATGGATGAGACTGCACAGGCATCTTGATTGGAGAAAAGCACTTCATTGGATCTCATTAAATTTTAATCATAAACTGAATTCAAAATAAATTGAAAACTGGTTGACAGAGCACAAACAAAGGGTGATGATAAATGGTGATGCATCTAGAGAGGGGATATCTTCCAGGGGACGCCTCTGAGGCAAGGACGGATGGGATTTAATGAAGGTGTTATGTCCCCGGAAGAAGACAAATAGCAGAGCAAGAAACAGAGGAAAGGCAGGAGTGAGCAGCCTGAGTAATTAATAAAGCACATCACCAGCTCCAAGCAATCAAGGCTTGCTGTTGTTCACCAACTGCTTAGATTTTTTTTTAAGCATTCTTTGGGTCAACAATAGGGTTGGAGAGCCCTAGACACATAGCATGAATATTTCAGGTGGACTTTAAAAATAAATATATAAATTTACAGCTAGGAAGATCCTCAGATCCAATTACAGGTACTTTCAATTACAGATGCTCAAGGTCTTACTCCATTCCCCAAGGAATCGTTTTCTTATGTCTAAAAGTCATGGATTAAAAAAAAAAAAAAATCTTTAAACTCATTAATGCTCTTTGTTTACTGTCCAAATGCGTGCAAACTTTCACAACATCCGTTTGCTTAGTGGAAGCTGGTTTTGAGTGAACTGTTTGGCTCAGGCTCAAATTCCAGTGAATAAATACTTCCAAGTTTACTTGCAGAATTTCCCAGACAGAACAGTTCTTCCATTGGGTTTGCCAGAGGATTAGAAGCAGTGGTGAGCCCTGAAGACCAGGGAACATTTGCTGGCCCTCGTTCATACCCTGCACAGTACGACTCACGTCAGGCTAACGGCAGCACAGCATGACCCGGCCTGATCTGAAGCCCGCGCTGGACCTCCTCCGAGTGTTAAACAAGGAGGCGACGTCCTAACGAGAACACGCGGTCTATGCCATGTTGGACACTGGCAATACGCATTTAGACAGCGACCTCAAAACAGCCCATGGGGTGTTTATTTGTTTGTTTGCGTGTTTCAGATAAGATTTCTCTGCACACACATTTGTGATTCTTAATTCAGTTCAGAACCCAGAGTGAAGGAGAAGAAGGGGTGGAAAGGAAAAATCAGGAGAGAAAGAAGGGATGGAAAGGAAGGCAGGATGGGAGAAGTGAGAAGCAAGGAAAGTGGAGAAACCTTGAAGAAAATTTTTAAAAATTTGCCCTTTCTTGGTGTAGGAGAGACTTATTTAAGTTGTGATTTTTATGTATTTGTGGATGTGAGAAGGGGCACTTGGAAGGAAAGGGAAAGAACGAATGCAGGTGAAAGGCCAGGGTGTCATAGGCAAGCTGGTAAGCCAGGACCAGTCTGAGCAGACGTTACAGAGGGGAAGCAAGTTCAGGGATGGAGGGAGACGTGGGGACCCTGGTAGGGGAAGAAGGAAAACATGGGAAACCTGAGCACAGGAAAACCATGAGGCAGGGAAGGGCCAAGTTTCCTTAATCAACCCAGGAACTGCTGAGACCCCAGCCAGCCTAGGTCTGTGGGGTGGAAGGAAGGGGAGCATGCAGGCTGGAGGGCTTGTCAGTCCCAATAGCTTGATTTCAGCTGCCTTAGCAGGGAAGCAAGCCAAACTGGCATAGCTCGAAGGGTCACAAGGGGGATAAAAGCCCACCCTCTTCCCCTGGCCAGTTTATAACTTCTGATCTCCAGCAAGGTCTGTGTACACATCTGCACACAACAGAGCACATGTGTACGCGCACACACACACACATAGGCACAGACACAGACCGAGTGGAGCAGTCAGACATGGAAGCACATGTGGCCGAGTAGGAGGCCTGCTGAGCAAGAGACACAAAGAATGTTGGAGGGAGAAAGGACAGCATGGGTTTCATGAACTAAAAATATCTTGGTGACAATGCACTGGGAAGAAATGAGAGAG